GGGGGGGTTCTCAAAAGCCAAAATTTTAAAAGGAAAGTATGAACCAAAACGGGAATTTCCAGAAGGATTAGTGGTGGGGGCCGGGGGGACATTCAAACCAAAAAACCCTCTGTGGGAGAATTATGACAATCATCGATATTTTCTTCAACAATAAAATGAGTCACTGTGTTTTGTTCTTCGGCGAGGAACTTCACTTGCTCAGCTACTGCTACACAGTGCCTCTCTTAAAACAGGAGCATAAAGGTGTACCAGTGAATTGTTAGGGTAATGAATCTGACAAAATTCTGTGGATTAACCAGTATCCCATCCAGGGGGACCCCACAGAATCCTGAAATATCCAGCGAGAGGTATGAGACGCTTTGAAAAAAATTTCGACTTCAAAAGGTGATCATTGGGCTCCTTCTTGGTGTGGAAGACTTGACTCGGGCAACCCTGTGGTTCGAAAAAATTTTCCGGATTACCCTGGGGCGAGGATGCGAACTTTTCCGCCAAAAGTTATCAGTAACGCGGCATGTCAAGGGCGACTGCCGCATCACCCCCATGTTTCACTCTTGAGTTTGCAAACAATCCTGAGCGAGTGAACTTTGGTCGGTCTTTGTAATCTTTAGAGGCTAAGGGTCTTTCAAAAATGTATCTTTAGGGGGAAGGATAGCCATTTTTTACTCAAGGTAGGTTATTTTTTACATTGAATCGATGAATTGCGGTTGTTTCGCTCGAAAGCCATAGGTCGTCCGATGTCAGTTCCGTTGCTTTGATTGGTAGTACAGTCGGTTCCACTGTCGGTTCGCCCGGACTATTTATGGCTCTGTTTTCAGCGAATTAATATATGAGAAATAAATATGTTTTTTTGTAATTATGTTTCATTGTGCCCACAGTGTTGTCTTTTTCGCTCAATTGCTTTCGAGAAAGAGAATTTTTAGGGCGACGTCTTTGTTTGAACTTTCAGTTCAAACGAAGTGGCATCTGGTGGGTAACTGGCTATCGGGCGAAACGACACCTTTTAATTAAAACAAGTTGTTTTCTAGTCCATAAATGATCAAAATAGCTGGGGTAATACGTTTGGCAAGCCGTTTGACACATGTTAATTCGACTGGAAAAATCTCTTGTTCCTGCAAACTTAGGAATTTGACTATAAAAATGTAGGTACCACCGTACAATCTCTTGAAGAGTCCTTTAGTTGGAGTAAGTTATACAGTGGAAGCTCCGTAACTGGAGCTGGACGCTTACAAGAATGGTTCTTATAAGTGTCCACTTGCAAAGATGCACATTATAAATAGCCGCTTTTTATGGCAGCTTGCCCAGCTGTAAATTTTATCACTGAGTGAATGCCATGCGAATCTTACACAGCCCATAGCCGGTACAAGGAAAGCCAGATTTTTGCAAATATTTGTCACCCTGGGGGTAGGGGGGACTACCATACAAAAAGAACGGTGGTGCTCGTCGCAGATTTTGAAAAGAACCCCAAGAGGTACCAAGATCCGTTTTGTGGGCGTGGCTTGAAATGTTTTTCACCCCTAAGAAGTACCAATTCGAAAACAACACTTCATCTCCTGCACTTCATTTTTTAGGCTCAATACCTTCAGAGATAGCGCTAAAGATCCCGCTGTGGACCTTTTCAGGATGAATACCTGAAGAGGTACGAAAACCGCTTTTTTAACCCTGGAAAGGTGTGACGAGCACCCCCGTCCTTTTTTTAATGTAGTTCTCCCCGGGATTTGTCCCTCTGCTAACGACGTTGTGTATGCCAGGTGTAGTCAAATCGATAAACCGATAATCGATGTCAATCAATAATAATCGATTGCCGATAGCAATCAATGAGAATCGATAAAGAAAAAAAGTTGCGTTCGACTGTTATCAATTGCCGATAGTAATCGATAAGGATTGATTCATCGATTGGTGTATGTGTGTGTCGATTGTTATCCCAAATTGTTTGACAAAATTAATTTTGTATGTCATAGTTTTATTGAGTCATTGTATCTCCATAGCCTGTGTATCTTTTACAATCATCTATAATCATGATAAAAAAAAATTTCTGTGAGTTTGATTGTTATCGATTGCAGATATCAATCGGTTATTGATATTAATTGAATCAATCAATTTTGATTTTTATCTAAAAAAAAGATGCCTGTAATTGGTTGTAAGCAGCATGGCATATTTTTATCGATCTGACTGAATCCATACAATTTGTCCAGCTATTGAAGAGATTAGACACAGTGTTCTACTGGAAAATACGTCACTTGTAAAATTAATATGAAACTACAGTAGAAGCTCGATTTAACGATGTCGCTGGGGACCGGCCAAATTTGTTCGTTAAATCGAGGG